GTATGATGATTGTAAAGTATATATGGCACTCAACATGGGATCTGATATGCACCCTGCACTGGCAAGGGCCTATAGATCATGTGGGGGGCCACGGAGGCAGGGGTGAGGAGGGGGGGACAAAGTTCCGCCGGACTGTAATGGAAGTCAACATGGGGTCAGATATGCACCCCTCCAAGGGCCTGTAGATCACATGGGGGGTCGGGAGGCAGGGGGGGAGGGGGGAGGAGGGGGAAGGAGGGGGGAGGGAGGGGAGGGGGGAGGAACTGCAATACACCCTTCACAGGGGCTGTATTGCATCTCCATGACTGAACTAAAAAACAAAGAGAAGAAAAAGAAAAGCTCCCTATTCACTGAGCCTCTTGGGTAGAAGGCTCACCACGTTGATTGATGTAATAAAGGATGGTTGTGCTCCAAGCCCACCTCCTGGGGCAGTGGGGCAAGGTCCCACTAGCCAAGTGGATACAGATAGAGGGACCCCCAAAGATAGATGGAGTCAAGAGTGTCAAACACACACACATGCACACAAAAGCACGCACATCCGTCACCAGCCCGGAGCAGTGTAGGATCCCACTCTGCCGTCAGGGGGTCTTGCCTGCCCTGGTGAGCTCTTTTGTGTCATCCCGATTCCATGTAGGATCCTACTCTACTGTCATCAAGAAGTCTTGGCTGTTCTCTTGGGCTTTTCTGTGTCCCGACATTCTTACGACAACCTCGGGACCATTGTTCTACTTTCGAGAGACAGAAAAGGGGACTCGTAGCCCGCATTCAGGTAGCCCCCCCCCCTTTCCAAAACCCATCGTGGAAGAGTACCGCTCTTAACGGATATTGTTCGGTGGACATCTCCAGGAATAGAATGTGGGCAGTGCCATTGCATTACCGGTGCTTTTGGGGCTGCCGCCCTGTCGCAGTGGTGGTGTCGCACTGTGCCCTGGGTCATAGCTGAAACCCCCAGACAACGCCTGTTGGTAACATTGCATGCGACCACGTTCTAAGTCTATATAATGTATTCTTTCGTCGTTTGAACTGGACTGCAATTCACGTCTACACTCACCACTGCGGCCACCGGTGTGCGCTGCTGCGGTGCGGCTTTCTGCCTCCTTTGCCACCAACATCAAGCTGGCCTATCTCGCAACATCGCCTCTCACAGCTGTGGTGCAAGGTCAATTGCATAGCTGACCTTGAGCGTCGCAAGGTCAATTGCATAGCTGACCTTGAGCGTCAGCCATAAGCGAGCGGAAGTTTCTGGCCAATGAGTCGAGCCTTGTGCGGCCTTCCACCCATTCACTGCAAAGCTTATCGATACTCACTCGCCGAAAGAAAAGAGGTGCTGGAGCGGATCAAGGAGTCTGAAGAGAACGGTTGGGTCGAACCGGCCAAAGGGCCATGGCCTTTTCCAATTGTCCTTGTCCCAAAAACAGAATGGGTCGATTCGCATCTGCATTGATTATCGGAAGCTGACTGATATCACAATCAAGGTTGTTTATCCCCTGCCTCGGATTGATGACCTGCTGGATGCAATTGGGTGTGCTAATTATTTTAGTACGTTTGATATCTTCCACAGGTTCCATCATGTTCTAGTTAAGAGGGAGGATTGGCCAAAAATGCCATCAGTTCTATTTGAGGGCGCGTGGCAGTGGGTGAGGTGTCCAATGAGAATCTGCAATGCGCCACACATGTTTCGGAGGGCAATGAATATCGCCTTCCATAACCTCGTCGACAAAACTCAGCTGACACCGAGCATGATTATCTTGTGCGTTATTGTGTATATGGACGGGGTCCTGGTACATTCGACTTCGTATCATGGTCACGCCCAGCGTATTGAATGGACATTGAGCGCCCTGCAGGATGTGGGGTTTAAGATAGCACTGGAAAAGAACAAGTTTTTCCTTTCGGAAATCTCGTTCCTCGGTTATATCATGACACATGGGGGTTAGAGGCCAGACCGACGGAAGGTCGAACGGCTCGGGACGTGTTCGGGATGCGCACAAGCCTATGTTGTCCGTACAGGTCCAGGCCTTTTCCGGCTTGGCGTCATACTACCAGAGATTCATCAAGGACTTTGTGGCAATCGCACGGCCCCTAACGAATCTGCTTCGGAAGGACCACAACCGTTGTTGCACTCGGACTCGGGGGTGTGAACTTAAAGGAGGCCTTCATGACTTTAGAAAGGAGGCCCTGGTGAAAGGGCCCATTTTTTGGCGCCCATTTTTTGACTCAGCCCGACCCGGAGAAGCTCTACATCTTCATTACGGACTGCCAATCGGAGGCCATATCTGCTATTTCGTCACGGCGGGGGAACGACAAAAAGGAACACACGTCATCGAGTACGCGTCCGCAGTAGTTTGGGGCATCCAACATTTTCTTCCATATCTATACTGACCAAATTCATGCTCGTCATCGACCACAAGCCCTTATTGGATCTCGCGAAGCTCTCCTTATTGGCTCTCACGAACCTCTCGCGAAGCTTCTTAACTACAGGTGGGCAGCGAGCATGCAGGAGTACCAGAGCCCGGAAGGTGCCCAGGAACGAGCACATAATTCCATGGAAGGACGGTGCGCTTCCCAAGGGACCAACCTAAGGGGGGGGAGGTTAAGATACTCCCTCGAGCTGCAAAGATCAGACACATGGCAGCATGGTGAGTGTGGACTGTGGTAATGGTGCCTCTCTCGCCTTTTCTTATTCTACTTCGTTTCTACCACTCCCCGACCAATTTTGCTATGTTTGCGAAGCGAAGGGTCTATTCGGTGTCTATGCGTCCTTTCAGAGAAGGGTTTCGTCGATTGGGTGAACTGTGCCAACTGTGCCAAGCGTGTCTCATGGGCTCACGGGTCATGCACTCAACATCGGATTAGTCTAAAGTCATGGCTATGTTCCCTGTGTCGAAACGACAAAATCCCGACGGAAGCTCGATTCCTTGAAGCCACGTTGGAAAGATGGAAAAAGACGGGACTATTTCATCACGCTGAAGTATGGACCGACATCCGTGAAAAAAGAAATGTTTTCAGAAAATATTCTACAGCATTTCAAAACAGCAGTTCTTTTTTTTTTCTTCCCTTAAAAAAAAAAAAAAAGAACAGATTGACCATGGATCAGATATCAAACTGATCTCTCCAACCCCCCCATCCCCCCCATCCCCCGCCCCCCCCCCAAAAAAAAACCGAACAGAAAGAGCTACTAGGGCCTCGCTGCACAAGAACGAAAAAATGTGCCGCGATGTACCTGCCCATGCTCTAGTGGAAGATTCATTCTCATTTGCGCATCTCGTTAGTAGAGCGAGGCCCCTGATCTATTTCTAGCCAAAAGGCCCAGAATGGTATACACACAACTTTTGCCTTGAGGTCGTATTTTCAAATTCCAAACAATAAAAAAAACAAATTTTCAAAAAAAAAAACAAAAAAAAAAACTACCCTGGGCCTGAACCTGTGGGTCTGGATCAGGACGTCCATACAGGGGCATGAGGTATGCAGAGTTGCCACCACGAATGTACATGGCCCCGTCTGGCGTCCAGGTACGTTCATGCAAGCAATCACAAGACCTCGTACTTCGTTCGAAGCAGTAGAAAGAATATCATCGAGAACTAGGCTACCAGCCGGGCCGCCCGGGTCACCCTATTTTCCCGGGCGGCCCGGCCGTGCAAGGACTAGGGAAGGTCCCAGCCAAAAAAAAAAAAATTCCAAAAAATCCAAAAAATCCGAAAAAAAAACTATGTTATGCAGAAAAATAAACTGAACAACTTTTGCCTCAGGGTCACATCGAAATTCTTTCCCAATTTTCAAATTAAAATTAAAATTAAAAACTATTCTTTATTATTCTAGGCTACCAACCGGGCCGCCCGGGTCCCGGGTGGCCAGCCCGTGCAAGGACCAGGGAAGGTCCCACCAAAAAAAAAAAAAAAAAACACGAAATCCGAAAAAACCGAAAAAAAACTATGTTATGCTGAAAAATAAACTGAACAACTTTTGCCTCAGGGTCACATCGAAAATCGTCACCAAATTTAGAATAAAAAATAAAATTTGAAAATATGTTTTTTTTTCTTTTTTTTTGGCCCGGCCGGGCAAGTGACCCCGGGCCACTCTGGTAGCCTAGTAATTATTTTATTTTTTTATTATTTTTGGCCCGGCCGGGCAAGTGGACCCTGGCCACTCTTCTAGCCTAGATCGAGAAAGAATATCATCGAACAACACAAGCAAGCAAGTGCTCTTGTACTTTCGTGCACTTGCGCAGCCTTCTGGCTACGCAATCACAAGCACTCCTACTTCGGAGCAGCAGGGCAGCAGACAGAATATCATCGAACCTTCCGGCTACGCAACCTGGAAGCTCCCCGAGTGCCACGTCGACCGGTGCCAGCCTGCCGGCTCCGGGACATCCATACAGACATCGTGGACAACAGTACGGCGAAAGTTGAGGCTGGCTGCATGGATTTTGCACTGCTTTCTGGACGTAATTGCAGTCAGATTCATCCAAGCAGGGGCATAACTATTTTCAGATACATTTAAGATTGTGCTGGTATGAGTATATACTCTTACTCCCCTAACGTCACTGCATGGATTTTTCACTGCTTTCTGGACGTAATTGCAGTCAGATTCATCCACGCAGGGGCATAACTATTTTCAGACACATTTAATATTGTGCTGGTGCGAGTATACTCTTATTCCCCTAACGTCAATGTAACAGTTAATGAATAATGCTTTTTGTAATCTTACATGACTTCGTCATTTATATATATTTTTTCCGGACATACTGAGTTCTACAAACACCACCAGTTTTTTTTTGTTTTTTTTTTCCTTCTTCTATGCTTTTTGTAATCTTTTTCGTTGACGAGGATACAGAAATTAAGAGTACATATTAATTACGAATTATGAATTATGAATAATCTTTCTCTTTGAATGAAATTCATGTTTGGAAATAGTGTTCACCATGGCTGCTTCTTCTGCTCTCTTTTTCTTCTTCTTCTTCTTCTTCTTCTTCTTCTTCTTCTTCAACTGAGAGCAGCACTGCAGGAATAATGATTTATTTATTTTTGTGAAAGTAACGACTTTCCTTTTCGGGAAGTGATGGGTTTGTTTTTTGGAAGAGTGTTACTCATTGCTTCTTCTTCTTCTTCTTCTTCTTCTTCTTCTTCTTCTTCGTCGTCGTCCTCCTCCTCTTCTTCTTCGTCTTCCTCCTCTTCTTATTCTTCGGCTTTTTATTATTCTTCCTCTTCTTCAACTGAGAGCAGTACTGCAGGAAGTAATGATTTTTTTTGGGGGGAAAGTAACGATTTAAAAAATATATATATATCGTATCGTATCTATATATATATATTGAAAGTAAAGGTTTTGTTTTTTTGAAGTAACGATTGTTTTAACTATGCGCATACGAGAAGAAGTCTATGGCCACTGTTTTCAATATTCCACATCTTCTGTCCTCGAGTGCAACTTTCATGGAAATTACTACTTCAGGAAAGAACTCAATTTCAAAAGAGTTCTATTTCGACCCACAATTAAGAGTTTTATTTTTCAAAACTTCCAAAAAACGATTTTCTTTCACAAAGACGTTTAGTTAACAAATTAGCTAGGCTACCAGACGGGCCGCCCGGGTCACCCTATTTAAAAAAAAAAAAAAAAAAAAAAAAAAAAAAAAA